AATAAAAACATATTACGAAAAAACGCCCAGATGGGTTTCCCCTATTGAGGCATTTGTCCTACCTACGTTATATATAAAATATACCAGATGGAGGTATGAAGATCTGATAGATGAAAGGGGTGATCTTCTTCCAGAGGAGATTTTGAAAGAACAAGGTACTGACCTTACATGGTGGGAAAGAATACAATTGAGGTCAATATGGTTAAAAGATAAACAATTGGGCATTTATTCGAACCAAACGGAATTAGATAAGATCTGGTCAGATAAGAAAGAAAAATTTATTAAAAAAGCATACGAATTTTTGTTAAATTGGGGAACAAGAGATGAGTATATGAAACCAGTAATGTCGGCATGGGAAAAAGATATAGGGAGAAATATTAAATCTGAAGAATGGGATAAAGTCTGGAATAAGAATATAAAATTTCTAAGATCTAGTGCACTAAGGGAAAATGTTGTAAAGATGGTTTACAGATGGTATATTTCGCCAGTCATATTAAATAAAATGAATGATAAGCTAGGAAAGGAATGCTGGAAATGTAAATATTGTACGGGTACTTTTTTCCATCTATGGTGGACATGTGGTGAGACTAAAAGATTTTGGTTAATAGTGAAAGAAATGATAGATGAGATATTAGACAAAAGAATACCCCTGTTGCCAGAATGTTTTTTGTTAAATATGATACCGGAGATGTTCTCAAATAGTGAAATTTACTTCCTAATGCAAATGTTAACTGCGGCAAGAATCGTTTTCGCAAGAAATTGGAAGGATGAAAATATTCCTACGAAGGAAGATATAATCTTCAAGGTTTTAGATTTAGCAGAAATGGAACGGTTGACTTATATTATAGAAGAAAAGAATATGGTGAAATTTGATAAATATTGGCAGAGATTTTATAAATGGTTGGACACCAAAGACTATAGCACAAAGGAATAAAATTTGGCAACAAATATAGAAGCCTTAGAGGTTTGTGATTTGAAATGAGTTAAGGATATCTGCAAAAAGGGAATTTATTATACTGTATATGAATCTTTGATATTATATTATTATAAAGCTGTATACAGTTTACACAGTTATTTGCTCGATTCAGAGCTGTTTGTTGTTGTACTGTTTTGTTATGTGATTGTTGTTTTTTGTTTTATGTTTTTTGTCTTCTTTAACAATGAAAACTAATAAAAAAAGAAAAAAGAAAAATAGAAACATCTGATACTACAGACAACATTTTCAAGATTTTCATTTAAATGTAAATAATGCTGGCAACAATGTTCTATAATGATTTAGAGATACATTACTACAGAGTCTGGTGTTCTCAGTGCTCAATTCTCAGTGTTCAGTGTTCTCCTGGCCCCACTGCTGGACCTCCTGAGCAGTGTTCCCTCTAAGCTGAGTTAGTGTAAGCTAGCTCACAGTTTTTTTTTTGTATAAAGATTTTATTTACTCCCCTAAAAAGGGGAGGAGTTTCGCTTAAAAAGAAAAATAGGGAAGGTATATAGAGGGACGAAGAGAAAGCTGAGTGATCTATTAACTGTTAGATTAAACTGTTAGTAATGTCCAATCATCAAAGGCTTCTTCTGCGTGTTGTCAAACATCTTTTTTCCATTCCAGTTACTTTCTATGTTAATTTGTTAGTAATGTTCCTTTGAATTTCTGTTAAAAAGTCTCTTCAAGGCACATTCAGAACCGCTTCTTTAACGCGCTGGTTACTTTTCCCCTCTCAGTGACGGGAGGGGCTTCCTCTGTTTTTCTCTTGCCTCCGGCTTCTTCCCCTCCTCCTTCTGTGTCGCTGTTAACTCTTTCAGTTCCTGTGCTGTAAGCTGTCTTCCTTTCATGCCATGCCCGGAGATCTCCAGCTTTGAGAATGGTATTAATTTCAATTTCGCTTTTATCCGCTCCCAGTCCCTTCGCTGGATTCTCCTCTTCAATTGTTGACTTTTATAAGCGCTCATGAGGCACTTTTCGCTGTCACAATTCAAGCTTTTCTTTTCCTTCACAATCCCCGTTGGATTCATAGCCATACACAGTCCAAATATTAAACAGCCGGCACTCACGTTGACACAAACGCCCAGACGGAAGTCCCTCCCTTCTCCCCCGCTTGTCTTTACCCAGCTCCGACATCTTGTTTTTTATTTTTAGTAAAGTTTTTAAAATGCGCTCCAGAGAAACAAAACCTTTTCTTGCTTATTTTCAAGTACATCAAAGGAAAACATCACTATTCGCTCAGTCCATTCCCCCCCTCTTTTCTTTTTTTTCTTTCTCGCTTATAGAGGATTAATCTCCTCATTTTCCGCTGAAGGGGGGGGGGAAACGTTCTTAGTTCATTTTCTCTGTATTTTGACAACTCACAGTTACGCCAGTCTTTTCTTTTCCATTTTTTTCGGATATTCGCTTCATCACTCGGTGACGCCCGGTGGTTCCGCTAAACCCCGTAGAACGGGGTCGCTCACGCAGCAAGGTCCAAAGGGGCAGGGCATGGCGAGAGTCTCAATCTCCGATCTCTCGACCGAAAGAGAGACTCCCCCCTGGAACGCCCTAAAGCGCCCCGGATCCAAGCTCCTCTCATCTGAGGGGCTCGTTCGGGTCTCCGCTTGCGCTGATTCCCTCCTCCACCGCGGGCGGGCAAGGCGCCCTCGGGAGCGACCCGAGGATGCGTCTGCCTTTCGCGGGAGCCAGACCGGAAGCCGCTAGCTCAGAGTTTTTTAGCCTCTGGCTCACACATTTTTGTCTTGGCTCAGGAAGGACAGCTCCAGAGCAAACTAATTTATGCAGTAGCCAAATTGCTCGCTCACAACTTTAATGCCAGTAGCTCACAAAGTAGAATTTTTGCTCACAAGACTACACAGCTTAGAGGGAACACTGATGACACCTGGTATTTTTGGCCACTGTGTGTGACAGAGTGTTGGACTGGATGGGCCATTGGCCTGATCCAACATTGGCTTCTCTGGTGTTCTTATGTATTATGAAGTTTATTTATTTACATTGTTTATAGTCCGCCTTTCTCTGAGATTGAAGGCGGATTACACAGAATAAGTCAATACAATTCGACAGATGGGACATTCAATAAACAATGCAAGAGGATCTGGGCTGCAGAACCAACCAGCAGTCTAAAAACAGAACTGAAGCACAGCATAAGTATTAACACGACACGTTAAATGATGCAAAGTTCTACAGTAGTTTATCTTAATATCCAATCATGCCGGTAGTCCTACCCATTGTGACTCTATAAGAGGGTTTCTTACTTTTCTTTGTTTACTACAAAATTTGTTTTCTACCGTCAGCTTTTATTTTTCCTGCCTCTCAGATGGCAAACATTAAAACACATGGGCTATGGCAGCATATAAGTGCAGACATTAGCACTCTTTCTTAAGTCCTGGATACAACTTGCAGATATGTATACTTTTAGTCTCCATAAATATGCTAAATAGTACAATTTGATTATGCTACTGAAGTTATAAATGATGTATTTGATTAGTTGTTGTAGATTTTCTGGGCTGTCTGGCCATGGTCTTGGCATTGTAGGACCCGACGTTTCGCCAGCAGCTGTGACTGGCATCCTCAGAGGCATAACACAAAAAGATGGAGGACTCCCTGGGTCAAGGTGAGAAGAAAAATTGACACCTTGACACAGGGAGTACTCCATCTTTCTGGAATCACTGTATCCCACTGATTTTCCTCATCCCACCAAGTTTATGAAATCCCCACAATGTCTATTTTCCCCTCCAACACCAAGCACTCCAACTCCCCGATTTTACCTCAGACACTTCTAGCATTTGTATAGAAACAGCTGTAATTTCCCTTACAAGTTAAGCCTGCAACCTTCCTCTTGCTATCTCGAGACCTTGTCAGGCAGTCCATGTCACTATCCATGGTCTCAGTGGACAATTTCAATCCACCTCCCTGTAGAAAAGCAACAGGTACCCCCTCATCTCTCTGAGATGAGCCAACCTGAACCAGAGACTTTTCATCTCCTCCTGTCGGCTTTCCCCCAATATTCAGTTTAAAAACTGCTCTGCCACCTTTTTGATTTTAAGTGCCAGCAGCCTGGTTCCTTCTCGGGACAAGTGGAGACCGTCTCGCCTGTACAGCTCCCTCTTGTTCCAAAAAGCATCCCAGTGCTTAACAAACTTGAAACCTTCCCCCCTACACCATTGTCTCATCCATGCATTGAGACTCCTGATCTGTGCCTGTCTCTCCAGCCCTGTGCGTGGAACAGGTAACACTTCTGAGAAGGCTACCTTGGAGGTCCTGGACCTAAGTTTCCTGCCCAGCATCCTAAATTTCTCCTCCAGGACCTCACGACTGCATTTCCCCACATCGTTGGTGCCGACATGCACCACGACCACTGGCTCCTCCCCAGCACTATCTACCAGCCTATCTAAAACACGCGTAATGTCCGCTACCTTCGCACCAGGCAGGCAAGTCACCATACGGTCAGTACGCGGGTTCGCCACCCAGCTGTCTACCTGCCTAAGGATTGAATCACCAACTACCAAGAGCCCCCCTCCCACCCTGCCCAGCGATGGTTCCTTGGTGTGAAAGGATACCCACTCAACAGCTGGGGAAGAGGTCCCTTCTGAGGGCACATTCCCCTTATCCTCAGCACGGTGCCCTGTTTCTCCTTGACCCTCATGCTCCCTGAACAGCGGAGGGGCTGCCAGATCCCACCCCCATGGAAAAAACACCATTTTCATGTGGATTCAAAATTTTCAGGAAATTGACACCTCTACCCTCTGCTTACTTCCTATTTGTGAGAAAGCAAATACTGTAGGTGCCTAGCTCAGAAAACACTCCTACTCGAGCAGTGACAGGCAAGACTGCCGCTATTAAAAGAGGCTCTTTGGCAGTCCAGTCCCCAGTCAACAAGACATCAACTATGACCAAATACTACGGAATGCTCCTTGATGTGTCAGGATCAGAGTTCAGTTCTCATAGGGGAGAAACCACAACACTGTAATGGCAAATTTCCCCTTTTATTCATGAGCTTATTACTAGTAAGTGAACTTACCCATGTCCTCTTATACTGAGGTTAAAGCAACCTAGACGGTCACAACCAAGTGAGTCAGCACCACACTTGTGGCAAAAGAGAGAGAGAGAGAGAGAGAGAGAGAGAAGTGAGTAGAAAGTCACAGTACTGGAGTCCTGACTATTGTAAAGTATCTCGTACAGGTGAACCAAATGCTTCACAGAATCTCAGGACGGAGTCCCTTTGCCACCTTCCGCCATCTCCTAACCCCACCAGTTCCTCCAGTTAGTCACAAAAGCACATTCCAAGCCACATGAGAGTAGAGATGTAAAATTTCCGGAAAAAAACGGAAGTTTTCGGAAAAATTGAAAAAAAATGCTACATTAGCATTTCTTTTGTCTTTTCTAGATTGAAAGTCATTCTGTTACTTTAGGAACATAAAATATGACTATGAACATTTTTACTTGGCATGAAATTATCACAACTAGCATATTAAAAATATAGTGTATCCAAACAATTATTACATACAGAATACCCACCCACATGCAAAAACAAAACTGAAACTTTTTTATTTTCTTCTGACAATCGCACCTCCTAAAGGAAGAAATGCATCTTGTTCTTGCATTGGAGAGTTCCGTTTGTAACCTAGGACTTGCTTGTCCTCAGTGCACAGAAATTAGATCAATCTGATACCATATATATATATATATTTTAGAAATGATTTGGAAAATATTTGAACACCTTGTCTTAAAATATTTTATTCATCATGTTAAAATAAAACGTTCCATAATCAATTTTTTTTCTTTTCTTTTCCTTTTTCAATTTTTCGGAAAAAAACAAAAAGGATTCAGGAAAAAAACGGAAGAAAAACGGTTTTTTTCCGAATTGTTCCTGTTTTTTTCTGGGCCTTCACATCTCTACATGAGAGCCCATCCAATAGCTCAGATGGTTTCCCCTTTACCTGTAGCACAATGCAGGTGGGCTGGTAGAAGTCTATTACTTGATTAATGACTGGCTGGAAAAGGTGCTTGTAACCTTCAAAGAGAAGACAAGATCGCAGTTACAGCCCTGGAAGTTTGAGAGTGCGCAGAAGAGCGGACCCGCCACAAGGCCCACAGGAAACCTTCCACTCACTTTGGTCATCAATTCCATCACGCAAAGGCACATTCAGGCAGTAATAACGACCACTCTCTGCCCCAACTTCATACATGTCACCTGGCAGGAGAAAGCAGGGACCAAATTCAAATGCTGTTCTTTAAATACTAAGAACATAAAAGCACAACAGAAAGTATAATTCAGATCTTCAGCAGATTTGCGCAGACAGAGCTCAAAACATCTCTGTTTCACTATGCGGTTAGGTCACCAAAGTCACTCTGGGATCCCTGTCCTACTGCAATGGTTTTACACACATGAATCTCAAAGACCTCTGTGGGTATTGCAACACTGAAACGGTCAAAGGGGGATTGTGCAAGGAGTCTTTGTTCCTGCAGACAAAGAGCAATCAAGAGCTCCATACCTGTACCGGGGAAGAAGTAGTTTCCATATTTGTGAAAAGACACTGTCATGACCCGGTCTGTCAGATAAAAAGCCTCTTGGACACCGTCTCCATGATGAATATCAATATCGATGTAAAGGACACGCGGGTGATATCTGGCAGAGAGCAGAGATGAAGAGATATATTGAGAGTCCCAGTCAGAAGCCGAGTTGCACCTGGGCCATATACTGTGCCCGAGAGGTGCCCCCTCCCCAGCCCTTGGTTTATTTATTTTTATTTATTTATTTATTTTTGAATTTATACCCCACCCTCCCCGAAGGCTCAGGGCGGCTCACAAGGGACAAAAATGCCCAAGTTAAAACATTAAAACAGTAAAGAATAATATAAAATACAACAATACAATTTACTAAAATTTGCTTTACGGTGCTCTAAAATTATTTAACTATAAAAGTACAAGATGGGATTCTAAAATTATTAACCAGCAACAGTAATAACAATAAATATAGCAGCAACAATATACGTCCATACAGCGTTGACCTCTGCCAGGCACGTCTCGCACCCCCAATAGTCCCCGCTCTAAGGATGGTCAATTTGCGGGACTAGTGAGGGGGGCGTAGATAGAATGATGGTGACATAATGATGATGGCATAAGGATGGTAGTGGCATAAGGATGGTTGGGGGAGGGAAAATTTTACAGTTATTATTAAAGCTGGATAGAAGGGGGAAGGGGGGGGGGGGGGGGGGGGCTGACCTCTGAAACCAATGAATGATCTAAGGAATACCAAGCACTGATAGGACAAATGTTACTGTGATGGGGGCTCAGAAAACCTTTGCTGAGCCTGAGCAAGCTGAAAGCCATCCTCATCTGTTCAGTTTCTTAACTTTTAAATCCTGCCTCTTCCCAAATATTTTTGCTCAAGGCACCCTGAAGCACAGACTGACTGAAAACACAGATTGATCCGTGTTGAGATGGATTTGGTAAGGATGGGAATGTAGCATCCCACAACCAATCAGCCTGTGGGCAGTGTTCCCTCTAAGCTGAGTTAGTGTGTGCTAGCTCACAGTTTTTTAGCCTCCGGCTCACACATTTTCGTCTCAGTTCAGGAAGGAGGGCTCCAGAACACACTAATTTATGCAGTAGCCGAATCACCTGCTCACAACTTTAATGCCTGTAGCTCACAAAGTAGAATTTTTGCTCACAGGACTCTACAGCTTAGAGGGAACATTGCCTGTGGGCGTGGACGGACAGCAAATGGTGCAGGGGTGGCCAGTGCGCCACTTTAGGCTGACGCTCTGGTAGTTCTGTGGAAAAGGGACTCTCAATGGATTTGGCTTTTGGAGACACAGAGCGACTGTGACAAGAGGCACGTCCAGACAGCCCCTCAGCTGCAGAAATGCAAAAGGTTCAAGAAGAGTCTTCATTCATGAGCCTAGCGCTGAAAGGCTGGACAGCCCTGCTTTGACAGGTTCCTTACTCAGGGTTTTTGGCTAAGTAGTAATGGCAGAAAGACAACAGGGCTCCGTGATACTGTCCATAAAGCCTCACTGAAGGCTGCAATCAGTGCAAAATGCTGCAACCAGCCTCATTCCTGGAGCATATGGCACGGATGTGCCTCTTTTATGACCGATCAACTTAACTAGCTGGTTAAGTTTTGGGCACAGTTTAAGGGGCTCATTACTACACGGCCATACAGAGTCTGGGTCCAAACATTCTTAAGCAGCACCTCTTCCCATATGATCTCTTTCATCGTGTGAGTTCTGTGGAGAAGGCTCAGCGCTGTGGGTCCGAACCAGCCACCAGGTTAATCACCCAAGGATTTCTTAGTCTTCAAGCTCTCCGCTCCCCAATGAGACGCATCAGAGCTCCACTCTGGGGTTTGGTCTACTTCCTGGCAGTTTGGAGTTGCAAATGTAGACTGAGTTTACTGTAGACCATAACTTAACTGAGTTATACTTTTTGGAATGTTGCTCCTTTCAGTAAACGGCCTTCAGATTGCGTTTTCTAGCATGCAATGTTACGAAAGGGGAAGCCCTGATGTATTCCAAGCACTGAAAGCTGCCTTGAAGCAAATTTATTCATCTTACCAGCCCTAAGCCAACTCCATTTCTTCATCTACCTTCCCCTATCCTCACTTTGCAGGCTGCATGTAAAGGGTAGAAATATTTTGCAGGTAGGCGTGGAAAGACCTTCTACAGGAACGTGGCCACAACCCCAAAGAACAAATGGATCTGTGCTCTTGCACAATGAGCCACCTGAGGGCACCTGGAGCCTCGGGGGAGGCATTTCTGCAAGCAGAGCTTGCTTCTCAGTTGAAACAGAAAGATGAGCTGGGTAAGAACGGCTCCATGTCAAAGAACAGCCACAAAAACAGCAGAAGAGGCATTAAGGGACAAGCAAAACAGCTAACAGAGAAAAGGAATGGGAAGAACCACCAGCACAAAAGTATGATTTAAACAAGCAAACAAAAATTAGTCTTACAGAGAAGCCCCGTTGCATAAGGCATCTTTCACAACACCTGTCTCCCCCCCCCCAAACAGCTGCACTCGTGCCCCGTCTCTTACTTGAGAAGCTCCAAAATGCCAATAACGATGTCATTGACGTAACAAAAACCAGAGGCCTGGAATTGGGAGAGAGGAAAATGGTATCAACACGGAGCCACGATAAGTCTTCCCCACCCTCCACTACGAGGAAAGCCTTCTGTTACCTCAAACTTCTTTGCATGGTGCAGGCCTCCTGCCCAGTTTATAGCAATATCACAAATCTAAGAAAGAAAGGGACACACGAGCAGAAAACACAGAACTAAGTGCTGCTAAAACATTAACAGATGCCAATATCACACCCTCTGTTTTAAACGACCCCTCCTTTTCTCCATACACCTCTGGGACAAAACCGCTAAGGATTTTGCCGAGACCGGTGAGTGCAATTCTTCCTATAACGATTCTTAGGATTTAGGTAGCGTTTTCAAAGGTGACCGACGTGTGTTTTTATAACATATACAAGCTGCCAGCCTCCAGGTGCTAGCTGGAGATCTCCTGGGGTTACAGCTGATCTCCAGCCAACAGAAATCATTTCATGGAGAAAATGGCATTATATCCCAGGCATTATACCCCACTGAAGTCCCTCCCCCATCCCCACCCTCCTCAGGCTTCACCCCCATAATCTCCAGGTATTTCCTAACCCAGAGCTGGCAACCCTATATAACAGCCTTTTAAGGCAGGTCAGTATTATCCTTAATGAAGGCCTGAGGCCAAGAGCAGCATGCCTGAGGCTGACTAGTGAGTCTGTGGCAGAGGTGAGATTCAAGGAACCAGGCACCGCCCTCCCCCCCAATCCATAGCTCCATCCCAGCTTTCACGACACTCCGTCAGAGCAGACAGCTGTAAATGCCATTCAGGTGGGCAAAAATGCAGGGCAATCACAACACGGCAGGAGCCCTTGGGACACCAGCCCTTGGCTGACAGTAGCCGTCCTACAGGCAGGAAGTGGGTAAGCCCAGCACCTTTCTTACCTTATTGTTCAGCTGTGTTGCTCCTTGCAGGGAGGCCCCAGTGTAGCGAGAGCAAAACTCAAACAGCCCTGGGAAGACTGGACTGAGGAAAAACACAAAGCTTGAAGTGGCAGTCAGAAACATAGAGCTGGAAGGGGCCATCCAGTCCAACCACCTATTCAATGCAGGATCCGCCTAGAGCATCCCTGACAACTGCTTGTCCAGCCACTACTTGACATCTGCCAGTGAGGGGGAGCTCACCACCTCCCTAAGCAGCCGATTCTGCTGACCTACTCTTACTGTAAATCCCCCCCCCGCTAATATCCTAGTCTCTTTCCACTCATAATTTTAATCCATTATTGTGAGTCCTGTTTTCTGCTGCCAACAGGAACAGCTACTTGCCCCCCTCCAAGTGACAGCCTTTCAAATATTTCAAGGGACCGACTGCGTCCCCCCCTCAACCTCCTCTTCTCCAGAGTGAGCATTCCCAAATCCTGCCTTTCCTCACAGGGCTTCTTGGTCTCCAGGCCCTGACCATCTTCGTCACTCTCCTCTACATCCACTCCACTGTATTGTCGTAAGACAGAAAAAAAATGTTGCCTTGCCCATCTGATGTTCATCTCATTCCTAGTGGCAAGCCATCTTGGCTTGCCACTAGGAATGAGATGAACATCAGATGGGCAAGGCAACATTTTTTTTTTTGTTTGGTTAGCCAGTGCCAGAGCAGTAGCATGCCATTTCAAGCTACGCCATCAGACCAAACGAAATGGTTGCCAATCCCCAGCTATATAAAGAGCAAAATCGATTACTGATGCATTTCTCCCCCATCAGTTCAGACGGGTGGCCTTGATGCCAACTATTGTTGCCATGTTCATGCCAACTATTGTTGCCATTTATACACTAATTGCAAGTTATTGCAATAACTCAAGACGGCAACAGAGAACTGGCATCAATTGCCAACATTATGTTGATAGACGAGGAAACAAATCAGCTCATGTGCCTGGCCAAAACGAACATTATCTGGCCACTGTTGCAGAGAACCACAGCATCACCGCTGCTCATAGGGATGGCTTGAAGCTCCCACAGTGACGTGGCCTGATGAGACCAGGAAAATTTCCAGTTAACTTAGACTGCAGTGCCCCTAGCGCTTCCTTAAAGGGACATTTTCGCTCAACATCTCTCTACCCACATTCTGTGATGTCATTTTATTCCCCTAAATAAGAAACAAATTCACTTTATTCTGTGGCTCAGTGTTTGGGTGTTAACAGTCAATCCCACTGCAATCAATGTGACTCTTCAAGGTGCCACAAGCCTACTCTTTGCTTTACCTGCAGCACACTAACAGGCCTGCCCCTCCAGAATGCCACCACAAGAAGTAGGAACAGAGTCTGTAATTTGTTTCTTGATTCCACCCCCCTCCCCCAAAAGAAACAATTTGGGGATTTTTAAAGTTTCTGTTTGAGATCTTCACCTGTGTGCAGAACCCCAGGGGTTTTTTTCCCCCAGGGGGAAGTAATGTCAGTCAAGCCAGTAGTTACAATTAGCTTATGTTCACAATACTGATGTATCAGAGCTGGGGCATTAGTGACTTTTAAAAAGGTATACTCCACCCTTCCATAAGTTCACAGTGGATGACAATGTCAAAAATGAAAACCAATTTGGACTCTCTCTGTGTGCCTAACTATATCCACCACTGTGCTTCCTTATGATTCTCCCTGCATATTTAGGGTCTTTTCTGTTCCATTCTTAATAAGCACAAAGTTCCTCTTACATCTTCAGACACTATCACCTGTACTTCAGGCTTTTATTAATACTTGCAGACCAACAGGTCATAAGCAAACAGCCAAAAATTATATTGATGTATAGACAATGTAAGAAACAGAAATATACAATATGAGAGACATAAGAATACATTTTAACATTAAGAAGTGATGCCCTGGCCATAGACAAAAATTTTGCAACTGCAGGAGTCACATTCGGATAGATATCAACTAGTAACTTAGCTATAACCTCTTGTTTTGTAACGAAACTCCATTTTTGGATATAGGTTGTGATCCATTTGTCCCAGGTCAAATTGTATTTACTGCAACAAATTAAAAAGTGCCGGATTTGCAGTCACATAGCTGCTCAGAGAAAGGGATTCCTAGAAATCTGCCTGCTAGTTCCCCTAGAGACAGGGCATTTCCTCACCTGTATTAGATCCCCCAAAGTCTTTGTTTCATGCAAACCTCTGTTTTTACAACAGACTGCCCCCATTTACTTCCTCCAGAAGTCCAGCACCCAACCTACTGGAAGAAGTGAGCAATGACTCACGAAAGCTCATAACCGGCTACAAATGTTGTTAGTCTTTAGGGTGCTGCTGGACTCTTGCTCTTTTATACCTCCCAACCCAAACAGTGTTATTCAACGTACCACTATTTTATTTTCTCTTCAGCTTTTTTGACACAACATTACCTCTCGTCCTCTAAATGCAAACAATTCCACTCCTATTCTCTTATCCTCTATTATTTTGATCCTGTCCTTTTATGTGATTCCCTGTATCCTATCCTTAACGTTAAAAACGTATGTGCTCTCTTGCCACTTATATTTCTGTCCTCTTGCATCTTTGCTTCGACATGCAATATTTTCTGGACAAAATTTTCAGCCTCTGCCGATACAGTAACAGAAGCTTCACAACAAGATACGGTTTCCAGTAATAATTTCAACTTAGATGGGAGTGACTGTTAGACGGAAAAATAATCAGACAAATACAACAAGACAGGAACCAAAGGCCTAATCTGTGAGGATACATTACATTAAATATTCAACACTGATAAATACTGACATGAACACAGAGGAGCTTTCTTTTGTTGTTCAGTCGCACAGTCGAGCCCGACTCTTCGCGACCCCATGGACCAGATCACGCCAGGCCTTCCGGTCTTCCGCCGTCCTCTGAGGTTTGCTCAACTTCATGTTCATTGCATCTATGACACTGTCTAACCATCTCATCCTTTGCCGTCCCCGTCTTCTTTGAACCTCAATCTTTCCCAGCATCAGGTGAATAACAAGTGAATGTTGACAATAACATTTGAGAGATTATCAATGTCTCTCCAAGTTTTCAGAGACCCTCAATATTCATCTGAGACTGCCAGCATTCACATGTCAGGACTGACTAAAGGATAGGCATTCAACATATACATAGCTTTGTGTTCTTGCTGAGCTTGTGGGCCATGCAACATGTGAAGTCCTTGTGTGTCCAACAGAGTGAGTTTGGACAGCTTCCAAGACCTCATGGTGGAATTATTTTCTTTAGTAGAGTAAAACAAATGTGCACGCTTCGCTGTTAAGGAAGCACACTTGAAAACAAGCCCTAAGTGAAGCCTTTAGATGCTGAGCTTTAAAGCCATACCCTAATTAACAGATAGCTGAGAAGCAGGACAGTAGGAACTTGACAATTAAGAGGCAATGGGACCTGGGTGAAGAGAGACTGCAAACAACTAAACCAAAGGGCAAGAAATGGGTTCAGATTTCACACAAATTGCAATATCCAGCTAAAGCCTTTGACGACAAACCTCTACTATACTTAGAATGAACAAGCAGGCCACAGTGACCAGAACCTTAAAAGAGTTTTCCAGTGTGACTTTAATATACAAGGCTGCGGTCACACAGAGCATTAGCCACGCTACAGAGACGGAAGATAGGCGGATTTTCCAGGCGCGATCACAGCGCCACATCTGAGAAGCGTAGAGCTCCAATGGCGAACCCGAGGCTTCCCGCCGAAGATGTGGGGTAAAAAACTAGTACCTCCGAGGTACTAGTTTCTGAAAACCGCGGGGCAAGGGCGGGCGCCTGATCGCGTTTCCGGTGGCAAGTCGTGGCATCCGGCGCCCGCCCATGTCCCGACGCGATGCGCACAAGCACCCAATGGCGCATGCGCACACTTCGTTTAAAAACAAACAACACAGCCCCCTCCTCTTTTCCGTACCCCCCCCCACTCCTGGCTCGGCCTGCTTGAGAGGAACTCTCTGCACCGGGCAGCAGAAGGGGAGGTGCAGAGGGGGCGTGACGGGAGGGCGGCCCGGCTGAAGCTCCTCCTGGAGGGGACCGGAGGATACAGTTTGCATTCCTCTGCCGCCCTGAAAGGGGTTAAACCCACAGAGCCTTTTGCCAGTGAGGCCGCTTCTTTGCCGCGCCACAGGATTGTCCTGTGATCGGCACCTCCCCCCTAACCACGGGACCTCTACGGGACGTCTGACTGCGCAGCTGCGCGTTATTTTGCTCCGGGACAAACAGCCACGCTCCCCCCCCCCCCCCCCGCATTTTCCTGCCCGTGTGACCGGGGCCCAAGTTCCTCAGACCTGGTCTGAACCTCAGCCTCCCCACATATCTAAAAGAAGAGTAGTACTTACCAGTCGTCCCCCACATTGAAAGCATTGAGGCTCTTGGTAAATCCTTGCATGTTGGTTGGACTCACCCTCTGAAGGAAATCAATGTAATCTTCTGAGTGAAAACGGCACATATCATGCTGGGATGCTTGGTACGGCTTAAATACCTGCAAGAGAAATTCCTCTCCTTTAGAGCAGCGGAGGGGGAAATCGGCTGAGATTATGTCATGGCTAAGGACAGTTGTTTCTGTAATATATGTAGACTTCGGAGCATCAACCACAAAGCCAGGGAAGTTACGGCCCTGAAATGCACAGTAGTGACCCAAAACCAAAGCTGTACTTGACACAACCAACAGAATGCTTACAATCATCTTCTTGTAGAGTCCGTAGTGCAGCACCAGGCTGTGGGTCAGGGCCAGGCGATGGGGCTTCATGGGATGTCCAGCCCCTAATACGACAGGAAAGGGGGGGGGGACAAAGTTATTAACATACCCACACCATTGCTTAGGTCTATTGCTTAGGATCTAGTGAACCATTATCAAAATTCACAAAGGAGAGAAAACTGGGAGGGGGGAAGAACAGGGTTGTTGTAACAAATGCTGGGACGGCACTAATACCACCACCACCACCATTTATTTAGCACATTTTAGATGTTCAAAGCGATTCACTGACAGTCAAGGGAGATGGCTGTAGCTCTCCTACCGCAGGTACAGTCTAGTCTACGGCCACCCATCAAACTCATGGCAGGAGAGGCAATTGAATCAGGGGCTTCCCAGGTCACCCCCTTATCCACTATGCTGTATCAGGTCTAGCCTACGGACAGTATACACTACGGTTTGCAGAATCAAATGACAGTGTAGCCCTCTCTCTATCAGCGTGGCAGGGACAAACGCCACAGGGTCCCAGAACAGACTCCATCAGTTGCCAGTCCTCCTCCTTATTCATAAAACGATCACACTTAGACTCCTCATTTGCTTGTTTCCCCTTCTGTCCTTCGTTACATCTTGTTTATCAAATTGTGAGCCGTTTCGGCAGAGCTCCAACTAGCATTTAACAAAAAAAACAATCATAATAAAATCGTAATCATTAACATCATCATCCCAAGGTGCATCTTTTCCAGCACGGTTTCCTGAAACACTCAGTTTACAGGAAGCTCACGAAAGGAGCATGAACACCCCTGCCCCCATCTGTCTGCAGCACTATCAGACCCTTAAGAGGTATACAGTTCCTATATACGGAAGGTTTCTTTGTCCACCCTGGCTCAGAGCTGTTGGTTGACCTACCCTTTATAATGTGTTTTCTAATCATGTTACTTTAAAACCGGCTCATCATCGCATCTTGTAGTAGGGCATTCTCTAAATTAATTAAATGTGATGATCTCTGAAAATGTCTTCTGGATTTTAAAAGCCGATAAGTGTTCTCTCTGCTACGCATGGACACAACAGAAACAGTTCATACAATGATGCTTTTTGTGTAATAATGACAGCAGGACTCCTGAAAGAAAACTGCAAGACGAAACTTGGTGCTAAAAATAAAACTTTACCCCTCCAGGATCAGAGCAAAGCTCCATCTAGCCCCCCATCCTGTTTTCAGCAGTGGTCAGTAAGACGCCAAGAGGTCCACAAGCAGGGCTGGCAAGACAACTGTAGGCAGCATTTCATCAGTGGAGACCTTCTGCCTCTGAACTTGCAGGTTTCATTCAGCTATCGTAACTCCTAGCCCACAACAGATCTATCCTCCCTAAATCTATCCAACCCCCTTTTAAAATCCACCCAAAGCAGTGGGCATCACTGCATCATGTGGCAGTCAGTTCCACAAGCCAGGAACCCACTAAGGAGGGCTTCCTGTAGCCGCTCACCACTTCACCAGCGACCGCAAGAACGCTAACTCTTTCTCCATGGCCCAAATGCTTCTCCACCTGTATCATGCGTCTCTGGTGGCATATGAACAGAACAGGGGAGAAAAAGCACACTTTTTACACACAAATTTATTTCTAAACTTCTGGCTACAAGATATGGGGATAGCTTCAAAAGGGGAGCGAACCACTGGTGAGGACCGGGTGACTGAACTCGGGTTTTGCCACAGTGGTGAAACCCACGTTCGTTGGAGTGGCTGAGGGTCCAGAGGCAGGAGAAGGTGCCTTCCATGGGGGCTCCAAGTTGGGGCTGCCAACTGTGGCTTAGGGAAATCCCGCAAATTTGGGGGCAGAGTTTGGGGAAGGGAGAGAGATTATCAGAGGTGTGATGCGATAGAGTCCACCCTTCGAAGCTGCCATTGTCTCCAGGGGAACTGAATTCTGTATACTGGAGAGCAGCTGCGATCACCGGAAACTTTGAACTGTAATCAGTGGGAAGATTTCTAACGCTGTGGGGAAATCCCTGCCCTGCATGTTCATGCCGTCTCTTTGCCTATAGCTGCCTGGGCTTTTCTGGTGAAAATCAAACACGGTAGGCAAGCTCAATGCAGAATATGAAGCGTGGACAAACCTCAGTGCTTGTACCTGGTATCTGCCTTCTTTAGCGGATGTTATTTAATTTATTTACAAGGAAACGTTCCTATTCAAATTCTCCCAGCGAATCCAAGTCACTGATTGGAACTCCGGGAGCTCTCCGGGAGCTCCACCTGAAGATTGGCAACCCTCCAGGGGGGCCCTCTCCTGGGAAACGAGGGGGGGGCGCCTGTCCTCCGCTCTTCTCCCTCACTAGCAACCCAACCACAGCAGCTGTCTTGGCGCGGGAGGTGCAGCTTCCAGGGTGAAAACTCTAAGACACCTTCCAGACGTGCACGGGAAGTTCCTTGTTCGGAGCGATCCTGGGCATGTAAGGTCTCGGGGAGGGGGGGGTGGGGGAGAGGGGCGGAGCGCTCCAAACACGGAACTCCCCCCGCACGTCTGAACGAAGGGAAGCGGCTTAAGAGGTTTTCACGGCACCGGGGAGGGAGTACCTTTCCTTCCACATCCCCCCGACGCACCGTAGTGAAAGTTGCCGACATCCGGGTCATAGAAATAGGCCACGGTCTTCGCCATCGCCCGACTCACACCGCCCCGCCCGCCCCCCCCTCGCGCCTCGCGGAGGGAAGGAGCGCGCGCCGGGAACCGACAGACCTCCCGCCGGCCGCGCAGCCGCCACCCCCCCTCCCCCTCCGCAGTGGCGGTGGCGTCATCACGCACGCGGCGCGCGGAAATGTCGTAGGCACCATAGAGCGGACAAGGGCTAGAGCGGGCCGTGAGGCTCGAAGCGCCGCGTTTCCCCTCACGCTCCTGGAGTTCGGCTGACAGGAGCCAGGCGAGGCGGACTGGCGGAGTCTTGTTATCTTGTTAACCTTCTCGCTGTCTGGAGAAGGAACTACTTTCCTCACGCAAACATTTGGAAAACCGGCCTGTCCACGGTGAATAAGTAAATCCACCTAGAAATGCAGATCCTGTCGTTTCTGAAAGGAGGTGTATTGCCCGAGCGTGGGTGCTTAAAACAACTTTGCAAGGTAGTCCTGGCCGCAGTGTTCCCTCTAAGCTGAGTTAGTGTGAGCTAGCTCACAGTTTCTTAGCCTCCGGCTCACACGTTTTTGCCTTAGCTCAGGACAGATAGCTCAAGAGCAAGCTAATTTATACAGCAGTCACATCTCTCGCTCACAACTTTAATGCCAGTAGCTCACAAAGTAGAATTTTCGCTCACAAGACTTCACAGCTTAGAGGGAGCGTTGGTCCTGGGCAGGGCTCCTTTTGTACTAAAAGCCCAGCAGGAACTCATTAGCATAATAGGCCACACCCAATAGTAAAACTAATTAGCATATTGGGCCACACCCCTGACCACACAGCTCATTAGCACATTAGGCCACACCCCCATGTTACCAGAAGTGTGGTCATCCAGCCACACCCACCTTTTGCTTCTTATTCTGTTGACCTTGTTTGTTGTCAAAACCCAGGGCCTTTTTTTGTAGCAGGAACTCCTTTGCATGTTAGGCCACACACCCCTAATGTAGCCAATCCTAATGAGTTTCTGCTACTGGGTGTGGCCTATTATGCTAATGAGTTCCTGCTGGGCGTGGCCAACTCAGGAGCCAGCCGGAACTCTGTTCCTGTGTGTTCCTGCCCAAAAATTGCCCTGGTTCTGGGTGTTGCTGTTTCTCTGTTGCAGGGAGTGCCTGGGGAGGATGAGAGTCGTTTAGGTTGCTTTGTCAGTCTCCAGGGGGTGGCTGGACAGCTGGAATTACAGAGTATGGTTGCCAACCTCCAGGTGGTACAATCAGAAACTCGAAACTATGACTTTTCCTTCTGAAAAATTCTGTTTGTTGAATTATTGTCTGTCTTTGAATGATATTTGGGATATGTGGATTTTGTTCTTTTGCCTCTTTAAGAAAGCTAGGACGAAACGGAATTAAAGGCTGACAGGTCCATCAGGGGCTGTACAGGAGCGCCTGTACACTATCTGCAGTGATTGAATTTTGAAGAACAAAGGACGTAAGACGGTTTACCATAGCACAAGCACTTTAATTTGTTGAAGGACATTTACAAGCACTTTCATCATATGAGTATTTGAGAATGGACTGTTGATATTTTTGTGATTTGAAAATGGATTGTTGATATTATTGTGGAGACATATGCATGATATTGATGATAAATAAGTAATTTATTAGTATTGAAGCTTGCCATAGTTATAATTTCACAGTTGTGAATTTCTGATTGTATCTTATTTCCGTGGATCACTCTGGATCGTAACCTACAGGTGGTGACTGGAGATCTCCGGCCATTACAGTTGATCTCCAGGCAACAGAGATCAGTTCCCCTGTAGAAAATGACTGCTTTGGAGGGTGGATTCTATACTAGTATTGTACCATGTTGAAGTCCCTCCCTTCCCCAAACCCTGTTCTTCCCAGGCTCCACCCCCCAAAATCTCCAGGTAATTCCCCACACAGAGCTGGCAACCCTAAATTACAACTGGTCTCCAGGTTACAGAATTCAGTTCCCCTGGAGAAAATGGCTTCTTTGCAAGGTGGTCTCTATATAGCATTATACCCAATGATGTCCCTCCCTTTTCCAAATCCCACCCTCCCCGAGCTTCACCCCCCAAATCTCCAGGAATTTCCTAACTCAGAGCTGGCAATTCTACGTTTAGGACAGCCATCTTCCTCCATTCCAGACAGACCCTGGAGTCACCTTTAACTCCTGGCTGCAGCAGTGTCCCACTGAATTGTGTGCATGCGACAGGAAAAAGAGAAAACAGAGTCTCTGAACCTGCTTGCATGAAAAAGAAATTTTCTTCACTGCTGCTGTCCTGCTGCATGGGTGCAAATATAAGTAGGGGACATGGCTGTCTTGCTCTTTGTGTACATATATTATCAGTTGGTCCCTGCAAAATGCAGACGACCGAAAGACATTTCAATAGGGGCTGTGACAGAGCAAGTGGGGCTGTACAACCCACCCATATTACAACTCATGACCATTGGTTGATGAGAACCCAGCAGTGGGTAGGGATGTCAGGCTCCAGGTGGGACCTGGGGATCCCCTGGAATTACAGCTCATCTCCAGACTACAGAGATCTGATCTCTTGGAGAAACAGATAGTTTGGAGGGTAGACAATATGGCACTGTACCCCACTGAGGTCCCTGTCCTCCCCAGGCTCCACCCCCGGATCTCCACGAGTTTCCCAACCTGGATCTGGTGTCCCTAACCCCCATCCTGTTGTAAATTAATCTCCAGCAGGTAGATCAGTATGATCTAAGCTGACAGCTACCTGTCAGCAGGTGGAGTGATTAAGCTAGTTCCAGCCGATTTAGACTGGCACTGGACACTGTGCAGTCACAGTGACTCAGCATGAATCTGATTGGTGGAACTATGTATATAAGTCTTTGTACAGTTGCCATGTATCTTCTTCTCTCTGTGATGTATGCCTGGCGAAGCACTTTGATTGTGAATATTGTGAATAAACCCTTGTATATAGTGTACCACTGGACTGCTTCAGTGTGGTTACTATAAGGGGCTTCACAGCAAGAACTGCAGTGAAAAGCTGGTAAGGCTGGGAAGCTGGAAAGTCCTTAAGGGTCCTGGCTTGAATAAGGGGCTGGTTTGAATCATCCCACACGCTTAGCGCAACACATCCCCCACCGGTGACCAGAGGGACCTGGCAAGCCTAAGTGGAGGCCAGTGGGCCAGTATTGTTGTATACTGAGGAACTTTTGGCATTATCTTCCTCCGTCACTCCCACAACATTTAACTGGAATCTCATATCACAAACATAGAACTGGTCACTAAAATTAGATCCTTTTGTAGATAAGGGAACACACATTTATGAAGGAAGTACCTAAGAAATCAAAGGCTACTTAGCATAATATGTTATCCGATTAATTAAATGGAACTGTTATTAGATAAACTCTTTTAGCATGTAGAAGAACAAGCTGTACTGAGGAAGAATAGGTCTGGCTTCTGTCAAGTGAAATATTTCCTCATCAGTCTTTTCAGCTTTGTTGGGTGTGTTAACAAGCACATGGATTATGGTGATCCCATGGACATTATAGAAATCCAAAAAGTTATTGACAAAGCCCTTCACCAAGGTCCCCTCGGTATTCATGCCTATGAGAGAGAAGATGCAGCCAAGAAACTGAGTAAGAAGAGAATTTGTAAATACATGAATTCTGCTCTCAATAAGCTTATTGCAGCAGGTGTTTGAGCAAGCCTGTCTGCGGAATCATGACTTTTCATGCTACTCAGATATAAGAATACAAAAGACACTAAGAACATTTTACTGGCTATTGCACTTTATTTGCATTGGATGACACTTAAGGTGACAAAGACCAGGCAGTATCCGGCAGTAGAGAAGAGGATTATGTCATTGGTTTATTCTTATTGTGAAGGATATATATGTCCATGGGATTTCACAGAAATGTATTAATATTTATCAAACTCTTGAAAAATTGAATTGACTTTTCGTAATTATATCACAGTTGTTATTTATTTTTCATTTACCAATCCTGTGATCTCTCTGGCTACTGTAAACTATCTGGAGATTGGAAACCCTGGGAGTGGGTGGAGGAACATACCTGAGGTGCCCCCATGGAGAGAGGAAAAACAGAAGAGGGCTTTCCTCCTGTGGAAGTGTTGGAAGAGACCCAGCTGAAGACAAGTGCCACAGATACATAGCAGGTGATTGTGTCATATATGGCAAAGACGATGAGGAGATCAGAGACCTCTGGACTGGCAGCAGTGCTTTTTTTTCTGGGGGAATGCACAGGAACAGAGTTCTGGAACCTCTTCAACAGAATTCTTTAAAAAATGTTTAAAAGTTCATGAGTTTTCAGTACACAGATTGAAAACTTCATTCCCCTCGAGAGTTCCGGCACCTCTTTAAAAAAAAAAAGTCCTGACTGGCAGTGAGTGTTTGAAGTGGAGGACTGTATGCTGTCTCCTGCCTCAGACTTCAGAGACAGCACCATAGATTTGGATAGATAGAGGAGTCAGGACACACAGAGCATCCTTTCCTTCCTGCTATCTGATACTATCCCTTTGAAGTAGAATGCTATTCTTATGGACAATATTTCCTTCCTTCTGGCCTAACACATCTCTCTCTCACACACACACACAAAGGAGGGGGACACCCTCCATCTTCGGCACCATGGATACAGAACATGCATTCTGCGGCTGCATCCATCCTAGCTAGTTAGATTACATTCTATTCACACATACATACATAGACCTTTATTGGCATAACTACATTCTATTCCTACCTTTCACCTATACTATCTAGAATGGAGTTCCCTAAATAAAGAACTCTTATTAGTTTGAAACTTACAAGTGGCTCCGAGTAATTTTGTAGCTTTGCTAGCACACACAGTACCAAGATGCTGCTGCTGTGTGTAAGCCTAGTGCTACCAGTAGAGATTCATGGTCATACCATACCAGTGACTCTATCAGTGAGGAGATTGTCAATTATTTTTGTGAGGGCCACTGAGTGAAGGAGCCCCTTTGCAGGGGGTCGAGAGAGGGGCTGAAGGCAGAGTCAAGACTGCAGGTTAGCGGCATGCCATGCCATAGACGTTTGGAGGCAATTGCACATCAAGGAAATTGGACAATGGCTGGGGAAAGAGGCAAGGTCAGAGGACTGTTTTTGTGAGAGGGGGAAACAGATTTGGTTGAATACAGTAGGGA